CTCAAAAGAATAATTTGTTTACAAATCTGCATACACTCATCGCACTGTATGTTTGTTGCATGCACCTGGCGAAAACAACAAATACTGTATTTTCAGTTGTGTTTTTCACAATCACTTCATATTTCTTGTGCTGTGACTGTGTTATATTAATGTTCTGTGATATTAATGGTCTCTTTTTAACCTTCTTTGTACCAATCTGAACTTTGGACAGATTGTTATCAGCGGTTGGAGTTCCTTGGTGATGCAATTTTAGACTACCTCATAACAAAGCACCTTTATGAAGATCCCCGGCAGCACTCCCCAGGCGTGCTGACCGACCTGCGCTCTGCACTTGTCAACAACACCATATTTGCTTCCCTGGCTGTCAAGTACGATTACCACAAGTACTTCAAAGCTGTCTCGCCTGAACTGTTCCACGTGATCGATGATTTTGTGCAATTTCAGCTAGAGAAGAATGAAATGCAAGGAATGGATTCGGAGGTGAGCTATCATCTCACTATTATCTGTTAAAGATATTAGGCCTTGGAAATGATAATTTAATTTATACCATTGTCAACATATATGTATAATATTTCATAAAGATTTAGCACCGTGACATCCTATCATTGGCGCTCATCTTGAATCTGGTCTGTGTTTGTATTTGTTTTCGTTTTTGGATTGTAAAAATGCAGTTGGATTTAATTTATTTTGAAATGGTTATCTTGGCACTGAATCTGGTCTTGTTTGACTGGAAAGCATTTTATGCCTAAGGGACAACACTGGATACTGAAAGAGGAAAGACAAATTGAATAAAATAAGCAATGTTCCCCATTAATTACATAGCTGGGTAATGTTGTCCCCAATATTGGACATTTAGGTCTTTTAAGCTAAATACTAAAAGTAATTGATCGCAGTTCATTTTGAGAGGAAATACCATTACAGTACAGAATAGCTGTCAGTTCACATTTTAAGTTACGTCCACAATTCTTTTTTTTTCTGCAAACCATTTTCTGCTGTTTGTAGTGTGTGATTAGTTTGGGGATGTGAATTTGACATGGATAAGCACAGTTTTCTGTCCTGAGAGGAAACACTTATTTTTTGTGTATGTCTCATAGCTTCGCCGATCAGAGGAAGATGAGGAGAAGGAGGAAGACATTGAGGTCCCCAAAGCAATGGGAGACATCTTTGAATCGCTAGCTGGTGCAATTTACATGGATAGCGGGATGTCACTTGAGACAGTTTGGCAAGTGTATTATCCAATGATGAGGCCACTCATAGGTAAGGGCCAAAGACGTACAGACTAGTAAATCAGTTCTGCATTTCTATTCCGTCTGATTGTCTGCCGGCTCATGTGGCGAAGACCATAAGTTCAGTCATTTTCAAACATCGTGCCATTTTTATGCATGATGAAATGCCAGATTGAAATGCGCTGCTTTTGTTTTTGCCCTGTTTTCTAGAAAAATTCTCCGCTAATGTCCCTCGATCCCCAGTGCGTGAACTCCTGGAGATGGAACCAGAGACGGCTAAGTTCAGGTGGGAATGTCTTTTCCTTGTACGCAAGCAACCTCTTAACATAATCACCTGCAAAATACACACACAGTAGCTATAATTTGAATGTGCAAAACTTGATACACTGTAAAAGTTACTGTATCAGTGTGTGGTTCAGAGCAAGTATGAGGTCATTTAAAAAAATCTGTATCGCAATGTCAATTTCCGAGTTCCTACAAACTCCCTATAAGAGATTGGAAGCTGTAATGTGAGTATGGTTGGTTTGATACCAACATTTTGGCTTTGGTGTATCAGTATCAACACTAAATGAACATGTTAGCCTTGTGGGAATTATTAATATTATTATTGAGTCTATGTATCAAAAATGTGTGGTTAATCTCATAATTTATAATAATATCTATTTAAAAAAAATATTAAGTTGTTATAAATTATATAAAATTATGCATAATATATTTAATAATAGTAATAGTTGTTATTATTATTATTATTATTATTATTATTATTGCTTTTTTT